TTCTGTGATTTACTTAAATCTAGGGTTTCGAACTCTTTCTTAAATTGATTCGATTATGAGTTTTCTTTAATAAAATCTTATATATGTTTATTTGGTATGAATTTGTGTTATTCACTTTTATTCTGGGTGAGTTGGTGTTTTACCCAAAACTGGGGTTTCAGATATTTCTAGATCTAATTTGGTTTTCGATTTCTTAATTACTTTTCTTTAATACTGCCGTTTATGTGTCTATATGCATTTTATTACAACTCTTTGTTACTGCTGCTTCTTACTTGCCCTAAATTTGGGATTTTGATTCCTCAGAATCAAACCAAATCTGCTCGATTCTGGTTTTCCTTCTGAATTCTCCTGTCTACATTATGTACCTTATTACTGCCGATTTTTTGGTTTACTGAAAATTAAGGTTTGAAATCTTTTACTAATTTTCCGATACTTTTTCCTTCCTCATATGTGACTAATACTTTCCTTATTTACCATGAGACTGCTTGTTAATTGATATTTTCCTTATTTCTATTACTCGCTTGATTACATGCTGTTATGCCCTATTAATTTAGACCCTGCATTATTCATTCTATGATTTATTTCTTTCCTTATTCATATGTGTCTGATTTCCTTCCTTATGTGGTCACTTAATTGAACACTATTTAAACCCTTCCCCTCCCTTTAAAAAAAAAGACTCGAACTCTCATATTTCTTACAAAAAAAAGAACCTTAAGCTCTCTTTTGCTCTCTTGTTCTGATTTCTGTGCTAAGTGTCTCTTGATTTTGGCCGGCTGAAAGCCAAGGCCAAAATTATTCTGCAACCTCATTGCTATGGCATACTTACTTGCTTTCTTACTTAACTGGTATGCTCTAACCTTTGCAATTCCATTCCCTATGCTTTGCTTGACTAGTCTGTTTCAATTCCTAGTATGACTCTGTCCTTTATATGATTATGTGATCTCATTTAGTAACATTGTTAACTTAAGACTAATAATAATATAAATCCTTTTCATAATTTAGCCTAAGGTTTAAGTTGTCTCATGCACTGTTTGTTAATTCTATACCTGTTCTGAACTTTGCACACTATAGACATGTAATCAGTAAATTTTGCTGCTTAACTCATATGACCTGCCTATGTAATTCATATGTATGACCAGTTTAATCGTTTCTACCTAATTATTTCTGTGATTAAGCCATGATTGTCTTAAGTACTAGCATGAGTATCTAGCTTAACTAGACTTCACTTATTTGAATTATGTGTTTAAGCATGAATTCTGTATGTTTTCTTGGTGCAGTTCTGCCTGCAACTCTATGTTCTGAATCCTATTTCTTCTGAAATCCAACTATCTTTTAAAAAACATGCCCCTTCTCTCTTTTATATACTCTTAGTCCCTTAGGTTCTCAACCACCTCAGTGTGAGCACTGCCCAGGGTCCACATGAGACTCCTTTGAATTCTGACGCACTAGGGGCTGGTTTTCCAATCTCTCATGAGCTCTGAATGTGTGGTTCTGGTGTGAGCATTGCCCGGGGTCCCTGAGGCCCTTGGGAACTTTGACACACTGGAAGCCTGGTTCTAATGTGCTGTGGATGAATCACTGCTATGCTTCAAAGTTGTTATGTGGGAAGGCCTGGTTCTCAGGTTTACTTGGGCATATGAAGGCTCCCTATAGTATTTCGTTATTATTATATAATTCTTTTGTTATTTTGGGCTGTAATAACTTTGTAATAACAGACTCGGGGATATTTAGTAACGCTGGGGGAGTTTCCTCTTACATCTCTTGTTAAAACTGGGTAGAAATCCTGCCTATAGGATTTAATTATGCTGTCAATTCTGTTCGTTTAAGTGAAAACTATTTGAGTTCTATGCTGTGTTTAGACATCCTGCCTATAGGGTTTTCATGATCATTTTACTGTATTTTACATTGGCATGCTAGAAATCCTGATTATAGGACTTTCATTTAGTTATGTATATTAGAAATCCCGCTCCTAGGATCTGTACATGTTTCCAACAAATATGCATTAGCAAGCATGCCTATAGGATCTTGTTGATTGAATTAACTGTCCTTCCTGGCAATCTGTTTAATTTCTGCCCGTACACAGTTAATAGATATCATGCCTATAGGATTTAAATCCATTCAAACCATGCCTATAGGGTTTAAATCAATCCAGCAATAAATATTATGCCTATAGGACTAAAATCAATTTCAAATTTGGAAATCATGCCTATAAGGTTTAAGTCAATTCAGTAATTTAGAAATCATGCCTATAGGATTAAAAGGGACTAAAATCTATCCCTGCGAGTCAAAATCAGTGCTACGCTTAGAAACCATGTCTATAGGTCTATAATCAACAAGTTTGTAGAAATCATGCCTATAGGATTCTGTCGATCGATCCTGAATTCATTCGCTATTTTCAATCACTTAGGCAATATATCTGTAGGACTTAATAATGATTCTGGGTTTATAGTTGTGACATATTACTGCTAGAGGTGCCCAGATTCATGCTAAATAAAATCAGTAGGCAAACAAATAGGTCTTAATGCTCGCCTTAACAAAGCTGTATCTGCACTTTGTTTTCCCACATAGATATCCTGCCTATAGGATTCCAAAGTTAACGAGGTTTGCTGATTCAATTACGTGCTTTTGTTGCCTATGTGTGGAGGTCAATGTGAGCCCATACTTGTTCTTTATCTGAAAGTCCTATTTGTTTTTGTTTGTTGCCTAGATTTCACATTTTTTAAGTAACATAGGTTGGTCTAGAACCATCCCAAATAGAGGTCCTAATACCTCCAGGGCCATAGGTAAGGGATGGGTAGTGCACGCATAAGGAATGAGCTAGAAACTACTAGAACTCTTAAGTAACAATTTAAAGATAGTAATTGGGTAGTAAGGAGATGATAGCCCGTGCGCTAATGCTATGAGTAACACCCCGACTTGAGGGAGTTACAAAGTATTGCATGGAATGATCCTATAGGCTAAAAAACTTAAGACCACCCCCTATACTCATGTTTAAAATAAATTGAATATTGTATTTGTCCAAATTGTTTTCTTCCCTTTTTAGACTAATTCGCTTAATTTAAGTTCGGCCGGGACTCACGTTGTGGACATGAGGGGTGCCTAACACCTCCCCTCAAGGTAATTTCGAGCCCTTACCCGATCTCTGGTGATGTAAACTGGTACAACATGAGTTATCCGCTCTAGGTTCCCTCACGCACCTTAATCCGTTAGGTGGCGACTCTTCCAATTCCAATTCCTTACTCTCTCAAATAGGAGTTGTCCAAGAAATGTCGAAACCCAATTTCGCGAGAAAAAGGGGGCGCGACAGTGGTTAGACCGGCCATATTGTATAGGACTGAGTAATGGCCAGTTAAGAACTCACATATCCAGAAGATGAATGTAGTAGAAATAAGGATGTTAAGGTGGATGTGCGGGAACACTCGGATAAATAAGATTAGAAATGATGATATTCGGGAGAAGGTGTGTGTGGCTCCCATTGATGACAAGATGCGGGAAGTGAGGCTCAGATGGTTCAAGCACGTACAATCGAGAAGCTCAGATGCCCTGGTAAGGAGGTGTGAGCAGCTAGCTTTGGAAGGCATGAGAAGAAGTAGAGGTCAACGTAAGAAGTATTGGTGAGAGGTGATCAAGCAGGACATGGCGAGGCTTCAGATTTCCGAGGACATAACCCTTGGTAGGAAGCTGTGGAGGTCAAGTATTAGGGTTGTAGGTTAGGAGGTAGTTGAGACTATTTCTACTTCGTACCAATGTGAGGCTAGTTGGACTGGATTTTTGTCTTAGACTGCTAGCGGTTAATATTGTGTTCTCACTACTCTTCCATTTTTCATAGTGCCGGGTCTATTTATTGGTTATTGCTTTTTCTTTTCATCTATTTTCTGATTTTTATGATTCTATTATTATTCATATGGTTTCTGTTGATGGTACTGATATATTCTCTTTTCGTCTTCTTGAGCCGATGGTCTTTCGAGAATAACCTCTCTAATCCCTCGGGGTATGGGCAAGGTCTGCGTACAAACTACCCTTTCCAGACCCCACTAGCGGGATTTTACTAGATCGTTATTATTGTTGTTGTTGTTGTTGTCGTTGTTGTTGTTGTTAATTCAGCTCATTTTGATCCAACTCATCTCAACTCATCTAAAATTAGGCTGATTTTTAACCCAAATCGATCCATGAGTAAATTTGCCAAAATACATTAGAAATAAAAAAAAAATTGTTTGATATGTTAGATATGACCATAACAAAAAAATCTTATTTAGTAATTATTATACATTTCATAAGAAGACAACATATATTAACTAATGCTTGGTAAGAGTTGGTTGGGTTATGAGCCAAATTATAATCCATCTTAACCAAGCCCATCTCAGCTCAAGTAACTTTTGAGCGGATCAATAACCCGCCAATTTACTGACTCAACCCATTTGACCCGCCTAAAATCAGCCCAACCCACCTATTTGACACCCCTACTTGGTACCTAAATTTACCTGAAAAGTTAACCCGTTTGCCTATAAAAATCCTTTTTTTCAAAAAAAAAAAAAAAAAGTGTTTGTCTATGAAAATTTGCAAGTTTTTGGAATTTTTTTGAAAATAAGTTTTTCAAAAACCAAAAACCACTTTTTTCAAAATTTTCAGAATTTTTTTTCCACACTCACAAAACTGCAATATCTTTTCGAGTAAAATGCATGTCCAAACATAATTTCAAATTCAAATACTTTTTTCTTCAAAAATTACAATTTTTACGTCCAAAGGCCTACAAAATAAGGCCACTATAGGTGACCACAACCAGCAAATGAGGAAATAGAAGAACAATCCCAAACACATATTCGGATATCGGGTGTTTGTGGGTCCTGCTCTGTCCAGACTACTCATGCTCACCACACAGATACAAACACAAGGAAGCAATAACGAAGCAAATTATTGGCCAATAGGGAGTGAGGTAATCTCACCTTATCCACACTCCTACCACAACCTTAAATTACACTGACCATTCCACACTATCCATAAACCATAGAGCCAACTGAAACTGATCATAATATAACAAAATCCATCTGAAAACAAACTACTTAAAAAGACTTTTTAAAATTATTAGGATCCCAAGATTGTAATATATCAAGAAATGGCAGCAATGAACTCAAGTGTATTGGCATGCAGCTATGCAGTATCAGGCATTGGTGCATCTGAACTCACCTCAAAACATGCCTCTATGGCTTCCCCATCAGTTCAGAAATGGCCAGTTATTAAGGCTCAACAGTCCAAAGTGTTGGATTCAGAAGCCAACAAGAACCAAGCTGGAAGAAGAATTGCTCTTCTTGGCTTAGCTGCTGCCCTTTTCACCGCTGCTTCCTCCAACTCCTCAGCCAATGCTGGTGTCATTGACGATTATCTTGAGAAAAGCAAAGCCAACAAGGTATGTCACTCTATTTAATTACTAGTGCATTTCATTGTAGCTTTTTGTTTTTTTAATTTTTATTTTACCTTTAAGGATATGGTTTTATAGCCAAAGAAATTTCAAGGCATGTTTAAGTTAATGTACAAGTTTCAAAATCTTTCTTTCTTCAAATTCATATCCAATCAAACTACTATATATGGGACACTCTAGGCGAATTCTACATCGACCAAAAACAAGCCTCAGACCCCAATGATGCGTTTAAAGTCGTGGGAGTTTAGGCCCAAAGCAGACAATATCACTAGTGTGTTTGACTGTTACAATGTATTTCAGGGATTATTACACAATAGCTTGCCAAATTCATTATTTATTTTTTCTATCCGGTATACATAGATCATACATTAATTAAACACAATTATACACATATTAAAGTAGATGAAGTACATATGTGACATCCTACGTGAATCCCAGAAGCGGATTTGAAGGTGGCGGAGGTGCATGAGCGAGCTGCTCAACAAGCCCCCATCAGACTTTTGATCGTAAGGTTCCAAGCAAAATATATATCGTTTCCAATATATATACACATATATATTCGGAACTTTTGTCAAGGTTAACAGGGTTCAGTTACCCCTCTAATATATACATAGGTCCGTTTTTGGCAATTTCCATATTGACAAAAAAATAAGTCTTAGACCCTACTAACGCATTTTAAAGTCGCGCGGGTTTAGGCCCAAGTGTGATAGTACTAGTAGTGCATTGGGCTGTTAACAATATATCTCAAGTGAAATTTGAGATCATTTATATTTCTTTTTATTTTTTTAACGTTCTTACTAATATATGGAATATACTATTCATAAATTACAAGCCTTTTCAATTTGCCAATTTAGGAATTGAATGACAAGAAGAGGTTGGCCACAAGTGGTGCAAACTTTGCAAGAGCATACACAGTTCAGTTTGGCACATGCAAGTTCCCTGAAAACTTCACCGGCTGCCAAGACCTTGCCAAGCAAAAGGTTTGTACCTTCTCACTCCTAATAAAGAAATTAATTTGAAAAATTAATATATAAAGGGAATTCCATTTAAAGAGGATGAGAATTACACTGAATATTTACACAACTCCAATATAATACTCGAACTATAAAATTTGGATTAATCAGCATTTTGACTTGGTATAATCTTCTGTTTTACTTTTGTGTAGTATATGTTTTGATAATTATGAATGGGAGCCTTGGTGTAACTAGTAAAGTTGCTGCCATGTGACCAGGAGGTCACTGGTTCGAGCCGTGGAAACAGCCTCTTTGCAGAAATGCACGGTAAGGCTGCGTACGATAGACCCTTGTGGTCCGGCCCTTCCCCGAACCCCGCGCATAACAGGAGCTTAGTGTACCGGACTGCCCTTTTTTGTTTTGATAATGATATGCTAATATTTGTATTTTACTAAATTCAGAAAGTGCCATTTATAAGTGAAGACTTGGCCTTGGAGTGCGAGGGCAAGGACAAATACAAGTGCGGTTCTAATGTGTTCTGGAAATGGTGAAGCATATGAAGACTTTTGTAGTCTTACCAAAATGTATCTACTTTGACAGTCAGAAGTAATTACCATCCATTTTCATTTTAATCTTTATTAAACTTCCCATTGATTACTTTTCCATCTTACAAGTACTATTTCTTCCGTTTTAATTTATGTGAACGTACTTAATTGAATATGAAATTAAAAAAAAGACTTTTGAAATAGGGGCAAAACTACATGTCTTAAAGGATGGTCAAATGACCATCATTCATCAAACACCCTTTATTAGAGAAATTTGTTCACTTCTTTCAAGATTGAATACCCTTAAGAAAATTCATGGCTTCGCTATTTGAAACTTCTATTTTTTAATATGTCACAATATTTGGTGATTTTTGAAACTTGTTATCTTAAAAACATATCATTATATTTGTGTGGTCATAAACCCTTTCACTAAGAAAAAAATACCCCTCTAATTCAAGTGATGCCAAGCTAGTTCAAATTAATTGCGAGTTTTGCCAGGTGTAGGGGTGGCAATTCAGAGGGTTGTGCTGAATTTGAACGGATTAAAATGTGCTAGATCAATAAATATTCGTCCAACATATATACCTGGTTTAAAATAGATTGCGTCAAAATGGTTTGACAATGAGTCCTAACTCAATTTACCCAAATTAACGCAGTTTTATGTTTTTTAGGACATCAGTAGACATTCTTTTAAATTAACTTATTACTTTAATTACTTGAATTTACTAAATAATACACTTTATAGTATCTAAAGTTAAAATTAATTTGATGAAAAGAATATGACAAACCATTGTACTCATTTGCTTTTTGTATTCATAAATTTAGCAACTTGCACTAAATGTAGTCTAATGTTCTTTTAGAATACTTAGAATTTAAAGAACAAGAAAACTATTACAAACTAGATATAATTATTATGTTAGCTTATTAAATATTCTACCGTACAAATTCTAGTCCGGTTGGGGATTTTAATATTGTATGGTTGGAGGCATGACAAATATGTATATTTGTAGTTGCACTTAGGGTTTAATCTTCGTTGAGGCTTTATCACTCATTTGACCTCTAGAGAAGTTTGGACTAGAGTTAAATGTTTCAATGGTCTCAAATATTTTTTGATTCACCGAATATATGGTATCAATTAAATTTTATATAAAATATCAATAAAACTTGATCTAAGGTCAAAAGGTGAACATAAGTGTCAAAAATCATATACATAAAACTCCTTTTTTTTGAAACCATGTAAATCTTTTAACTCGCAATTGATTTCCTACTTAACAATATGGTTTTGCTTAACCATGTAAAAATTTTCTAAATAACGTCAATTCAAAGGACAGGGGATCACAATTGAAATTGTAACATCACGAGTCAAAATGCACTAGCATCTTGATCTTATTTTTACTATACCCCATAAGGAAAAGGGCGTGACGTGAATCATAGCTTGAACCCTGATATGGGCGTGATGTGAATCATAGCTTGAACCCCGATATGGAGCCTCATATTCCCCCGGGGCATAAACATCCATTACTCGGCGTCTTATTAATTTAATGATTCATAAACCTTCACTGATGTTACTACTAGGTGATAACACGAGTTCAAATATTCTCCTTTCAATGCAATCCATCAATTCTTGTTTCGAGAAGTTAATGGCATTGTCACACCCTTTTTTCACCTCATTAACCCCTTTAAATGAATAAAGTGATTACAAACCCCAAAAGTGTTTTCAAATTTTAAAGTGAAAAAGATTGCGTTTCAAAGGATTTTCAGAGTCGCCACCTAACATTTGGTTTTGGTGTGTCAGGTCACCGTTTTTAAAATAACAATTTCCCTTCAAAACACATTTAACTCTTAAACCAATTTGCACAAGAGATTCAAGGTTAGGGGGTTCATTTGACTCGTGGAGAAGATGTTAGGCATTCCCTGAGTCCCGTAACTAATACGGTTGCGTACATGATCCAGTTGGCCTTTTAAAATATTCAAATTGAGGTTAAAACACAGAAAAAGGAAAGTAAACACAAGAAAGGATTGAGGTCGTCCCCGCCTAATAAAAGAAAAATAGAAAAAGAAAAGTAAAGTAAAATCCTAAACACTATTATATACTATACTTTTTCCACGAGTTTCGTCACGGCCTCCAAATACACGATACTACGGGGCATACCCCAGATAAAATATATACAAAGTCTATTGGGCATTTCCCGGATAAACTTAGCTAAAGGGGGCGACCTCTCACCTCAAAAGAAACTACAACAAGAACGCCCTAAAGGTTTGCCTACCCATGACGGCCTTAAACATGCTACTAGCGGGTGACATAATAGATAATAAATAAATAAACAAACAAAAGAGAACTAACTAAGAGATCATGAATTGAATTTATTCTATTTAACCCAACTCCACGTCCCATTTCAGCAAATTAGACCAGACAATTATGGCATCTAAATACATGTGTTTCATCAAGAATATCAAAAAGATCAATTCGTGTAACCTATGATTGATTTAAAATAATTTAACTCCAAGAATCCTCGCCACGTCTTAATTCAATTCACACGGCCCGTTTCCAGTATTTCTAATTTATATTCATCAGAGTTTTGCTCATAAATATTTTCCATCCATTAATTCATACTTGTATTTATCACATACAAAAAAATTAAGAAGCCAACATCATATCATTCCATCATAACATATGAAAATAATTAGCACAAATAGAAGATAAAGGGAGAAGAAATGGACCTCAACAACCTTTCCTTTTTAAGACTAGCTTGAACCGCGAATCTGCCCGGAACTCGAACCACAGCTTTAGACTAATGGTGAACCTCTCGCACCAGCTGAGATGTTAACGGAGTTAAAGGACGTCGACGTCGGCAGAAAGGAAACGACGTCCTCTGTTATGAACTGAGAAAATTTGCCGAAACCTTTACTGTTACAAGTGAACCCGATTTTCATTGATTGGAGTGATCTCGAACTTTTTGTTGTTTTGTCAGTGTGAGAATTTATTGGAGAATTTTGAAGGGACGGAAGTGTTTGGATGGTAGTCACATCCTTGAGCTTACAGGTAGAGAACAGAAGATTGAACTTTGCACTATTTGGTATTTTGGAGAGTTTTCTTCAGTGCGTTCTTTTTTTTCTTTTTCTTTGATGTCCAGGAAAACAACTACTTCAATTAAAAGGATGAATTCATGAAGATAAACTTTCCTCTCTCAGCTTTTCTATGTTCGTTTTCCCTCTTTCTATCCCTTCCCTGCATCGTTTCTTTTTTCTGTTTTGTGTGTGTGTTGTGTTGGTGGTTGCCGGATTTCCGGCGAAATTGGGTGGCGGCTGCTTTTGTTTTTTGAGAGGTTAGGTCTTTCTGAAAGGTTAGGGTAGGGGGTGTGCTGAAGCTTAGGGGTGGTGCGACAACTGGATCTTGGAGAGAAGGGGGTGGGGCTCTCCAGGGTTAGTGGAATAGGTCTCTTTTTAGGGAAGTGGAGGTATGGGCTAAGGGCTTAATTCTGTAAATTGGCCTAAAAAATGGATTGTTTTAGTCCAAATTTAAATTTTTGAAATTTTTACATTGTTGGTCATTAATCAAGAATTATTTAGATAAATGGAATTAATTTTAGTTTATTCCAAAAACAACAAATTTATTAACAATTATAGCATACTTCATGTTTTCTTACGTAGAAGAAACTTTTAAAAAAATAATTAATGACCCTTAAATTTAGGAACCAGTTTCGACCCTTAATTTATCTATTCCCGTTCTCTCTCAAATAGTTATCCCTAATTCCATATTCCTTTCTCTATGAGCGAGAAAGTAGGAACGACTTCGATGAGATCGGAAGAAGAGTAATTATAGGAATGAGAGATTTTAATATATCATTCTCAAAATATTCATATTTATTAACATAAATAAATTAGTTCTATACTCAAAAATCATTTTTTTCTCAAATTATACATTTTTTTATTATATACCAACAAAAAAGAGAACAAAAAAGCTCGATTTTTGGACAAAGCATTATTCACTTTTCATTTAATTTGCTTATTTTAAGGGATTAGTAATTGATATCCTATTTTAACGGAACTGTGTGCTATAAATATAAATATCTTCCTGCAACAATTGTAATACCATAATTTATGCTAAACATTTACAATATATTTTTTAAAATGTGATAGTTATGTAAAATTCTCTTTATTTTTTTCTCATTGAACAAGACTAAAAATACTACCCACATATACTAATTAACCCTACTTAAGTAGAAATAAATATTAAAATAAAAGTATCCGTTAAAACACCTATTTTTGGTATTTTTCAAATATTATACTAAAAAATAATAATGATATTAGATTAAAATCATCGCAAAATTAAAATAATATTTCTATCAAAAATACTAATATTTTTTTGAAAACAAAGTGGAACTATTTTTGTATTTTTTTTAATTTTATGAAAGTTAGACAAACTAAAAGTAACTAGATAAAATATCAATTAGCTAAATAAAAGATTTTGTTTTTGTAATTTTCATTCTTGTGATAAAATAAAGTAAAAGAGTCAAAACTAGTTAAAATAGTAATATTAGACCTAAACTAAATATTTAAATGCTAAAATGTGTAAAATCTCGGGGAGGGTCAAAAATTACATGTTACAGTTGCTCCTCCTTGACTGGAAACACGAAGAGTTTTCAGACAAAGATCGACGAGACAGGTTTTTCGGCTCGACCATGATTTTGAGAGACCAAAAACTAAAAGAAAGGAGAATGTGACCGAGCGCTGGTCTCTGAGCTGCCTACATATCCTTTGCTATAAAGGAATCAGGCCACGTATAGTTCGGAAGTAGGAAAAGCGATGAAGTACCGAGCTGGAGAGCCGATTGAGGTGCCGTCGAGGTTCTGGTCCGCGGTTCCTGCCATTACACCAAAATAAAAGGAAAAATTACAGAAAAAATAAAATAAAAACACAAGATCCTATCTACTTCTTGTCTTGAATCTTCTTTGAATCTCCACTTTCTCCTTCAACATGAAACTGAAAATTTACCCTATTTTTCAGGTGAGCATGTAACGACCCGATCGGTCGTTTAGAGATTTTGTACTTTGCTCGCCAGTTCTCGGGCATGGCTTGCCCCGTGTGATGTATTACGACTTATGTAAATCGTTGGTT